TAGTATAGCCCACAAAGTACATAGTACATGAGGCGGCTTTCAGATTCAACCCAGCTAAGTACAAAAAGTACATAGTAGTATACTGCATAGTAATTACTAAGTACACAAAGTACATAGTACATACTAAGTCCACAAAGTATTCGGGAAAGAGTAAGAAAGGCAAACAGTGAGGAGGTAGGAGGGGAGGGGAGGGAAGGGGAGGGGAGGGGAGATGAGGGGAGATGAGAGGAGGAGAGAAAGCTGGAGAACAGAAGGAAATTAGAAGAACAGGGATACGAAAAGTGTGGAGGAGGATGGAGGATGAGATAAGGGGGAGGGGGAGGTGAGGGAAGGGGAGAGGAGGGCGGGGGAGGGGAGGGCAGGTGGGGGAGCGTCTCTTTTACTGGCAGCTAAATATCTGGTGGCAGTGTGAGTCTGCGCCAACTCAGGTACAGACACAGATATATAGGGCCGCGCCCCACTACTCTCCACATGCACAAAAGACACCAAATTGGCGGTATATCTTCCCATGTTCTAGCAGAAGCTTCATTCTCATTTTGCACATTTGGTGACTACTGGAGCGAGGTCGATAGACTCTTTTTTCATCCTTTGGGTGCAATTTCCCGACGGCCAGAACATGAGAGGTCATAATACCTTGTTCAATGTTTATTTAATTATCAATTTCTGAATTTCATAAATTATATGGAAAAAAAAAGGTCTGACACACTATGCTTTCACATTACATCATTCAACATGGAGATGATGCACCAAGGGGAAAAAAAAAAAAAAAAAAAAAAAAAAAAGAGTGAATATGGAGATGATGCAGGCAGGTGAGGGAAAATTGTTAACTGGGGGTTATCGGGCCTTGCACACTACTGAATCCGCCAGACTGCATGGTGATAAGGATGATGCAGGGCATATTCACACCAGGACCGTTTCTACTCAGCTCTGGACGTAATTGCGGCCAGATACATGCAGAAAAGTTATTGTGCGAGTATGCTCTGAGGAGGGAGGTTACTTTGCGTCTGGTCGTAATTGCGGTCAGATGCGGTCACAAACGTGCACGCTGCATGTTAGTCCAGTGGGTGATAACCGACAGAGAGAAGGCTGAAACAACCACCTGGAGATGCAGGGTCCTCTTGCACGCTGTTGCCGGGAGAGAAGACAATCGCAGACAAGATTCCAGTTTCAGCAGCAGTGCTTGCTGCACAAACTCCTTTGTTATCCTGAGTTTCGAAAAGCCGTTCCTGCTCCTTTGCAATTTGTAAATCGCTCGGCCACCATCTGACAAGGACGGCCTTCACGACGAAACGAGGAAGAAGCGCCGCAACGACAACAAGCAGCAGAAGCAGCCAATACTGCGCATCGTGCATCGCAACAAACGTCACCCTGCGATCACATGATGAAATAAATCACGAAGAACACCCCCCAATCCCCCATCCAAAAGACTAATGAGTAGCGAAATCCAGGGGGAAACGCAAACCAACCTCGTCTGTCTGTCCAACGATCTGCCCCCTCCAGGGTTGTTCGGAAGGCTTCTGGACTCTTACCTCCTTGGCGTGAAAAGCCCGCGAAAAAGCAAGTGCTGAGTTCGTGCCGAGTTCACAACGAGTTTGTGCCACAACTTCACACCCCGTTCGCACCGAGTGTGCGCCAGTTCGCTCAGAGTGTACTCTGAGTTTGAACCGCGTTCGTGCAGAGTTCGAGCTCAGTTTGACCATCGTAGGAAAGCAGAAGCGCCTAGATTGCAGGAAAAGAAGAAGAAGAAGAAAAAGAAGAAGAAGAAGCGACTAGATGTGCTGCAGTCACAAAAAACTGCCAGTGATATACTGGAGGAAGGTGGGGATGACGTCAAGTCCACATGGCCCTTATGGGCTGGGTTACTGCTACATGACAGAGCCCAGCAACTCCTCAATACAAGTTGGTGTAAAGCGGGTAATCAATTGCGATTTCTCAGTTTTGTTTTCGACTCGAATTGTCTTCTTTTTTTGCGAGGGGCCGGGGGGGGGGGAGAAAACTGAGGTTCAATGTATAGATTCGGATACCAACGGGCCTAGCTCAGTTGGTACACCCATGAACTGTTGAAATACAGACCCAAGTTTGAATCCAAATGCAATCAGATGAACAGAAGGAGAGAGAGAAAAAAGCAAGCATTGATTCCGATGTAGTACGGGGAAGGAGAGCATCAATCATCGGACACACCCATGACCTGTTGAAATACAGACCCAAGTTCGAATCCTGATGGACCTAGATGTATGCAATTAAGTAAGTCTCAATTACTCGAACTTGGGGCTGGTCAACTCGATGATGATATCTCAAGGCCGTCGCGGCATCGCCCTTAAGAAAAAGAAGAAAAGAAAAGAATAGCATCGACATCCGGACACCACAAGGTGCAAGCATCCCCCATTGACTGTGGCTTAGCAAGGGGGTGCAAGATCCATTCAGTTGCAGAAAATACCAGCCTGTAAACAACAGACAGATGGATGGACGGACGGACAGACAGAGGGATGGACGGAAGGACCGACCAACCGATGGACCGACGGATCGACGGACGGACTGACCGAGGGACCGACCGAGCGACAGACGGACGGATGGACCGACTGACCGATGGACGGACAGACTGACGGACGGAGCAACCAACGGACCAACGGACGGAACGAGTGACGGACCGACGGACGAACCGACAAAGGGACCGACAGACCGACCGACGGCCAGCCGGCCGGTCAGACAGACGCACAGACGGACAAGCAGACAGACAGACAGACGGATGGACCCCCAGCGGAGCGACTGACCGACGAACCGACCGACAGACAAACAGGCAGACAGAGCGAGGGAGAAAGGCGGGGCGGGCACACACAGAGAGAGAGAGAGAGAGAGAGAGAGAGAGAGAGAGAGAGAGAGAGAGAGAGAGAGAGAGAGAGAGAGAGAGAGAGAGAGAGAGAGAGAGAGAGAGAGAGAGAGAGAGAGAGAGAGAGAGAGAGAGAGAGAGAGAGAGAGAGAGAGAGAGAGAGAGAGAGAACTCACATGTACTGAGGCATGCTCTGTAGGCTGTCAAAAGTTAGAAGGCATACAATGCACACAATGACAGATCCCCATAGGAAGAGATGATTTATCCATGTCCAATGCCACGTGTCACACGCCAGGTGGAATGTGCAGACCAGCGTCCCTGCCAAAGTGAAAAATGAGCCCAACTCCCACAGCCCCTCCGTAGACTCCACAAAGGCAAAGTAGGCCGCATAGAAGACCACCAGGCTCTGCCACAGAACATCTGCCATCATCACCCAGAAAAGCCGCTTATTGTACCCCTCATCCCGCCGGCCAAACCCGTACAGACCCGGAATGCGCAACAATGTCCGGTCGTCGAGATCTTGATCCAAAATGCCAACCACAATCGTCGGAGCGGACGTGTAGACGAGAGTGAAGAAGATCAGATTCCAGTCGCTGATCGACATCTGCGGCGACCATGCATTGTGGAACACATACCTGTGAAACAACGATCAAAAACCGCAAATGAAGCACAGGACGAAAAGGAAATGTAGTTGTGAGCATAACCGACACACAAATCGCGGAGCGAACGGACGCAATGTTCGCCAGTTCGCACTTAACCGAACTCGTGACTTAACAGAATACCGCTCAGTTCATCACAACCACAGACTTTGGAGCATTTCACAGCAACCAACAGAACACGAGGAGGAGGAGGAAGAGGATGACGATGGGGAGGTGATAGGAAATTGCACATGGTGAAATAAAGCAACCAGGAATGGGCGAAGGACGGAGGTTTCAGTTGGAAGATGGGGCATTAGTTCAGTGACACAAGAATAAATTGTATTGTGAACAGAACTAGATAACTTAACGGAAAATAGGGATGTGAAGTAGGTTATGAGAGTGCCTGGGCTTCCATTTTGGGGGGGCGGGGGGAGCTGGGTGATGGGGCTGCCACGGCGGCTGGGTACCATGGAGAGTCTCCCGGCTGTGATAAGCAAAGAAGAAGAGCTAGTGGAGGGGGCCGATGACTAAGGCGATGAGGCGGCAAGAAGAAGTAAAAGAGGATGAGGAAGAGGGGGAAGAGGACATACAGGGTCAAGGAGAAATACCAAACAAGACGAATTGCCAGAAGCAGGGTTGCATCCCTGCCGACCGCCGACCCTGACCGCCGACCGTATTGCAGCCGACCAGTAGGGCCGACCGGTCAGCGGTCTGCCAACCAGTCAGAAAACAACCATCCACAATTTTTTTTCCAAATCTGAGTTGGGGGATGTACTGCGCTTGCAGCCCAAATCCGCTGAGAAACTTTTGGGGATG